CTTGTGTTTCTACATATACTCATATCTCGTGTCTACTCATTCTCAACCGATTCTGAAACTGTATTGGTAGTTAACCTGTAAACTTTGGGTGAATGATCTAAAGACATTTATTTAATGAAGTCAGAATTATATTTCTCGACTGAGGTATGAATGTTTTTGAAGAGTATTGTATGTCAACGGTTACTGTGAGACAGCTGTCTTCCAGTGGTCACTAAGAGTCATCATATGCCCCAGTCGACTGATTTTTTGCGATCAATAAATGAGCAATTCTTTCAAAATGGACGTGTTAGTAACAAAGACATCCACTGAATGTTAATAACTTTACTTGGATAAAAATATGCTAAAATAAGTGGGTTAAATGTCAAATTTTGACTAGCACTGCACACAACTACGTATGATCTATGTAGAGTGTTACTCAATTGTGTTGGCCACATTATTAACTTTTTTTCAAATAGAATTTATTATTAACTAAAATTTCCGTCTATTGAATGAATTATATGATAGGATGTTGTTCATAGTGTACTACGCACAGTCGTTCATATAAACAACATAATATGTTACTGAGATACAAATGCATGTTTATGATTCATTAGGCAGACATTTTCACGTCCAATAGTTTCCTGTTCAATTCGTAGAAAAATGAAATTAAGAAATATTTATCTTGTTACAGGTTAACGTAGGCAAACATCCTTTTCTTATATCCTCATTAGGTTCAGTGGTTTAAACAGAAATATTTAAACTGTTGCCTCTTATTACTGTCGTTCTTGAAGTCATCAATATTATGCGATCATCAACATAAGCGATTGTTATATTAGAGAACTAACAAATACGAAGATCTGCCTTTTCGCACATGCATATCTTTTTGTTCTCTTTCTTTTCTATCGACGCGCTGAGGTCGAAAAACTGTCATACGCACATGAGATATCTTATGTGGAAAGAGATATCTCCGTATTTGCTAGATTACTATTGAACTGATCAGGACGAATGAGTTTATCCAATCTTTTGTATGAATCCATCTGTATAGAACAGAAAAAATTTAAAATTTTCAATTTATTTTTTTAAAAAACAAAAAAAAGACCAAAACCAGAGAAAAAAGTTTGAAAATGTGGAAAAGATTGCTAGGACTACTAGCTTTTATTTATGAAAAGTAAGAGTCATCGAAGGCCCTCGACCTTGAATAACAATTGAATGACTCGTGCCAAAAATTAATTAGGAAAGAAAAAGACCAGAAATAAACAAAAGGACAACGAAGTTCGAGTTGATGTAATGGCCTTGCCGTTGCTACGATCTTAGACGTTTTCTTTCGCAATTTTTCCTTGCCTTAAATACATTTCTGCATTTATTTAAATCACTAGTGTGGTCTAAGTGTAGTCTAAGTGCATTTAGACGATTACAAACTGAATTTTATTTTGAATGGATAATTATTGATTACAATGTATTTAAGGCACGGAAAAAACTGCCGAAAAAAACGTCTAAGAATCACGAAAGGAAGCACTTTTTTTCCTTGGCCGTTAGATCATGACATGAAAGGAAGCACTCTTTTTTATTGGCCGTTAGATCAAGTAGAAAAAGTCTAATAGATTACAACGATCTTTCCCTATGCAAAAAAAAATTTCGTTGATGAATCAATCACTGCTGGGTTGTTCTTTCGAGAACGTACCACGTTTACATCGACTTTGTCCGAATTGTTCGAGAGTAGCATGACTGATAGAACTCGGACTCCTGATGACGAATATCACGCTTAAAAAATTTTAAAACAACGGTTTGGTGGTCTTCCAGACCTTTGAAAATCCCATTTCCCAGCAGAATAGTTTTTTTGTAGGCATTTTCATCATTTTTTAGTGAAACACTTTCATGAGCTGGTACCATCAGATTAGCTTCTATATGCGCAGAGCTACAAAATCACTAGCGGACAAATAGTTCCAAAGTGTTAAGCACGTTCTCAGGAAAATGTGTAAAAAGGTTGTTTTTCCCGAAAAGTCGGCCTTTTGTAAACCATTTTTTCCCCATAACAAAATATGCATTCGACGCGTCTTTTCAAGTTCTATTCGATGAAGGGATTTGCTTTACGATTAGAAAACATTTAATGATAGAAAAAACCAGCTCTTAAAGGAGATTTTCCTCGTTTCTCAAAGTTTGAGTATATGCTGCACCATTCTAAGGGATTCCAGAACGTGGGGTGACATATATCTCGCATGTACTCGACGTGGGCTATTAGAAAAACAGGTTTTTGTCTTTGGCCAAGTACTTTTCAAACAGACGAAAATCCTGTGGTGTTTTCGCTGGAAAAATACTTTCCGTGAAAGTACTTGGCCAAAGACAAAAACCTGTTTTTCTAATAGCCCACGTCGAGTACATGCGAGATATATGTCACCCCACGTTCTGGAATCTCTTAGAATGGTGCAGCATATACTCAAACTTTGAAAAACGAGGAAAATTGCCTTTAAGAGCTGTTTTTTTCTATCATTAAATGTTTTCTAATCGCAATGCGGATTAGAGTCCTACGGGACAAACTTTTCTGTTGCCCCGAGCCCGAAAAGTCCGGGCTTTTTTGCCCCGTCCCGTTTGTCCCGTAATTTTTTTAAAAAATATTTTTTGCTGTGATAAACCGTAACTATTACAAGAGACGCTTAAAGTCTCAAACTCAGTTTTGCAAAAAACCCGCAGGACAAAATTTAAGCCTAATTTATTTGGGTCTAAACTTAAAAGTTGCAGTATAAAAGAATGTTTTACATCCACTCACTAGCTCGGAATCGAAAGGAAAGAACTATAAACCTAGTTTTAGATATGGAACATCTCAAGTTTAAATCCGGATTTAAACCGGAGCTCATGAAAGTGTTTCACTAAAAAATGATGAAAATGCCTACAAAAAAACTATTCTGCTGGGAAATGGGATTTTCAAAGGTCTAGAAGACCACCAAACCGTTGTTTTAAAATTTTTTAAGCGTGATATTCGTCATCAGGAGTCCGAGTTCTATCAGTCATGCTACTCTCGAACAATTCGGACAAAGTCGATGACTCTGGTACACTTTCAAAAGAATCAATCGCCCGGCTGTCTGTGTTTGTTCTAACCAGATTCTCTCTAAACTAGCTCCATACCATAGAATGACTGAATGATTTGACTTTATGTTGCATTGATACGTTTAAAGCGCATATGCAGAATTCTAGAATTTGATTAGTTCAATTTCATTCATTTAGAAGACGAGAGACTTATACACGTTTAGCAGCAGCAAGCAAGTGATTTCTATTCTATGTACAGTTTCGTTCACAAGATAAAACTAAAACAGCATTTATCTTAATCTTTTCAGTCTTATGTGGTATGAACGCGGTTAGTCTGTAGATTTCAATTTGTGTTTTCTTGATTATTAAACCGGCTGTTTAAATAGCTGGGTTGCAGGGAATCGTATTATAAAACAAACTTAAGTCTAACTTAAGTGGAAGTTTGGACTTAAGTTTTGTTAGTAATACGGTTTAAGCCTTCAAACTTAAGTCAGGCTTAAGCTTTAGTGTATCTAAGACTTAAGTCCTGACTCAAGTTTTTTTATTTATAGGTTATTTTGACAGCCATCCAATTGTTCACTCACCATTAATAGTGAAAAATAATACGACTTTCTTAGCGAGATAACCTATGAATATTCATTGTTGGACGACCCTGTTAACCGAGTGTTTCGAACTCAATTGAAGGCTGAGAAAAATAAGGGTGAAATTTGTTGAATGTGACCTTGGCCTAAACTTGTTTTAAAAATATATATTTATGTGAGAATTATTGTTGTTCTTTTCGCTCTTTCTTTCTTACGACTTTTTCGAAATAAATCTGCGATTTTTGTGCAATAAGTGGATTTCAAGGTTGGGCTGTGTATCTTTTACCAGGCGAAACAATTTGTTTTATTAATTTCTAGCTTAAGTAAGATTCTAATGTAGTTTTTCTATTTACTTATTGCTATCAGTTCCTTCCTTCAATTCAGTATATTTTTTTTCTAAATAGCGGTTACTATTTTTTATGTTCGTTCTAAAGTGTTAATTTTCTATGATTTATTTTAGACTTTTTTCGACATGATATCCCCTCCATCCTCGTCATCGAATCCAACTCCCACAGCTCCTTTATCTCCGACATCATCGAATGTAAATAATAACAGTTCTGCATCTCTACTTTATCCGACTATCATGTCGAATTCTATTGAACAATCCCGTCATAGTTACATCAGTTTAACTGATGCGAAACAATCACCATCACCATCTCTTAATTTACGTCATCAAGGAGGTAATGAACTGACTTGTAACGAAATTGAGTTTATAAAAAAACAGACTTTTCAAAACAACTTTCTTTTTCCGTTTATTTGATAAATGTTTTTTCTTAGATATTTATTCTTTCTATTTGAAGGTACGTCTCCTTCAATGCCAGTAGATCGTCATTCCTCCTTACCCGATATAACAGGTGGTTCCGGATCAACATTATCTGCATCGGCTTCAGCTCCAGCCAAGTTACTATTAACACGTACAGCTTCAACAATCGAAACACTGAAAGTATGGAGTAAAACAACGTTTAAATGTACAAAACAAGTCATTAGTGAAAAACTAGGAAAAACAACAAGAACGGTTGACAAAGAATTAGAACAGCACATCGAAGTAAGTACTGTACTAGAGAAAGTGTCTACGCTAGCGATGTAAAATAGCCTGTCTGTTTGTTCATCAATCATCGCATGATTCAAATAGGCTAACTCTCGAGACTCTATAACATTTGTTTTGTCGGATTTTCGCACTGTTTTTGTCCATCTTATAGCATTTACGAGATTTGAAACGTCGTTATGAATCAATGTTAGCAACTATACAAAAAATGGCCATCCACTTTTCAAATTTATTGACAACACAACGAATGCTAAGTATGTTGCGCATAAATATTATCCATGTTAATAAACTTCAATATTCACACACTCACTTTCTGTCTTTCTTTCTTTCTCTCGCTTTTTTGAGGTGACACATTAGACCTTCAGCAAAAATCTGGTGAATTAGCAGATGAATTTGGCTATAATGCAGCAACACAACGTTTATTAGCGACAAACGGAGAGCAATTATTAAGTAAGATCAATAAAACAATCTTCTAAGCTAAGAGAAAAGATTTTCTTCATTTTCAGATGCTATGAATTTTTTTATTTCAACATTGCATACATTACTAACAAAAACAATTGATGATACCCTGACAACAATCAAATCATATGAAAATTCACGGTAAGAATACGTTTTTATTTCATATTGTTGATAGAACGTATCCGTATATTACTATATGACAATTTACAAAATTGACTATTTCTTGCTACACACACGCTAAGACTTATTTTGTTCACTATGTGCTTTAGAATTGAATATGATGCATATCGCAATGACTATGAATTGTTGTTGGCAAGTAAATCTACAAGTGCCTCATCGTCGTCATCAGAAGCAGATGAAATAATTCAACGAAATTATCATCAACATAAACAACGTTACGAAAAATTGAAATTAGATGTAACGATTAAATTAAAGTTTTTGGATGAAAATAGAGTGAGTTAATTTATAATTCTTTCTTTTTCATGGCTAAATCTAAATAAAATTCACCTAGAAAACGTCAATTTATCAGATGGTCCAGAAATAATGTT